TCAGCCCCGACGATAAGAAAGGAAATGTGCCTGGTGGTGAAGGCGGTGGAATCTGTGTGTGGAGACCACCGGAGGAAGGTGAGGCGGTTGGGCAAGGGATGGGACCGTGCTGAGTGGCGAAGAAAGCGTTTCCCTCTGCGCCGACTCTGGCAAGGAAATACCAGGAGGCGGCTCTTTGGGACCTAGCCTAGGCCTATGCTTCCTGCTTTGTCTTGTTAGCAGGAGAGCTACTGCGAGGAGGGGGCCTTACAGACTGCCTTGGCAGGTGGCTGGCACTGCCAAGCGAGCGGCAGGTGGCGGCTGAGCAGCTGTAGGGGGAGCTTTGCAAATAGGCAGGGGAGCGATTGCCAAGGGGAAAGGGCATGCCACTTCAGCTGCTGTTGGCTCAAGATGTGGCCTGGCTGGGAAGCGCCGGAGGGAAAGCAGTGAAACCAGAAGCTAAGACTTCTTCTGTCTCCTTGTCATCTCTCCAAGGTCTTAGGGGCTTCCTGCATATGTCAATGCCAGGGCAGCTTTCCTTGAGCTTTTGAAGAGAGGGACTAATCGCTGCCCTGCTTTGCGCTCTCCTCCCTGGCAGGTGAAAGCTGCCGTCCTCTCCTTCATCAAGGAACTGTTCCGCTCTGGCGTCGACGACTGTTCAGCATGGGGTCTGGTGGCCTATATTTTCCAGGAGTTCAGTCGGGCCACCAGCAGACTGGTAAGAGGGGAACAACTTGGCATTGTGCACTTTGTTCGGTGCCCTGGGTATGTTGACCGCTGCGGCGGACTTCACAGAGGATGCGCAGGCCCTCAAGCAGCAGGGCTTGAGTCGCGGGGCTCATGAACTTCCTGGCACCCAAACGGACATGCGCTGTGGGTGTATACGCTGCTGTCAGTGGAATGGCTGTGGCTCTGCCCCACCACGTCACGCCTTGGGAGCCACCACTGGAGAGTTATCATCAAGAGAGCAGTGGTGCTGCCAGGACCTTTCAGCCAAGCTGCTTTGCAAAAGCCACTCGGGACAGGCGGATCCTCCGGAGGATACCAAGGCTGAAAGGAACTGCTGAGATGCTGATGGATGGTCAGCAAAAGGCAGAAAGCATGGGCTAAGCAGGAGAAGCTGGAAAAGCTCCCTGATTGTCTCCTTGTCTCCCATCCCTTCCAAACCTGCCCTGTCCTCCGTGAAGAAGGCTGGGGCTCTGGGTCCTTTCCGGAAGCAAAGGGGCCATTGGCAAATCTCTGTCTTGAGTGTTGCCAGCCAGGCCCTCAGGGCGTGGTGAGTCCTCCTAGACGGTTCCCTAGGAGAGGGACTTGCTGAAGATCTTCACTCTGGTGGGGCCTTTCCTCTCCAGCAGGGATTCTGCCAGCATTCACCAGGAGCCTCCTGCAGGCTCTGTTTGTACAGAGAAAGGCGTAAAGGACACCCACCTCCCCCTCTTCATCTCCCCGGCAGCCAGTCACGCTCTCCTTCCAGGGCAGGAACCGAGCATAACCCCTCTCGAGAGCGCAGCTCCTGGCTTTTCCCTTGGTGTCACTGAAAGAGAGCGTGGGCCACGGAGCACCTGGCGTGCTTAATGCACAGCGTGCAGGCAGTGACTCTCTCTGCTTCCATTCGGCATCGTTTTTCCTGCAGTCTGGCCTCTGCCCCCCCCCAGGACTTGCCCTTCTCGTCGTGCCCCAGGTGACCCGTGCTCCCAAACCAAAAGCCAAGTCCCGCTAGCCTCCTCTTGAAGAAAGAGTCACTGATGGGAGTGTTTTCAAACTTCTGCCTTGCAGGAGACAGGAAACCTCTCTGAGATAGAAGTGCTGGAAGAAACCGCGCTTCAAACCCTGTGCTTACAAGTCCTCGACTCTCTGGACGTCTCAGTGAGCGGCATGGCGAGAGTAAGTCATCGCACCACCTGGTGCTACTTCTTGCCTCGAGGACGTTTCTTCCTAGCCCTCCCCGTCTCCGCTCACAAGCTCTTCAGAGCATGAGGCTGCCAGAGTGGCATGTCACAGGAGAGGGGAAACCAAGCCTTGCGAGTTACAGCCCAAGAGACGGGCTCAAGTAGGGATTAGGGCAGCGGACGAGAATGAGAAGAGGTAGAAGAGAAAGGGCGGGCGAAACATCACGCAATGTATTGGAGAAGGCTAACGGTGGAGGGGCTGGGTGGTAGCCGCAGGAGACGACTGCTAGCAAAACAGCTGGACGGAACGACATGCTGAACTGCCGTCTTCTTCTCTGCAGCTCCTATGGCCAAGGCTCCTCCAGTATGTAGTGCCAGCTCAGTACACTGGCACTCTGATCCCACTCTCCCGATGCCTCCGGGCGCTCCTGGAGAGGCAGGAGAGAGCAGAGGAGCAGAAGGAAGAACCCAACTACCTGGGCTACCAAGAACACGGTACAAAGCAGAAACCCTTCCAATGCAGTCTGTCCTGCTCTGTCAGGTGGACAGGTTGAGCCTGCGCGTCTCTCTGTGCCCTGGCACACCCAAGCGGGAGGCGGGAGGCGAGGAAGAGTGAAGAGCGCAGCCTTGCCCTTTTGCTAGGGGGCAGGGAGCCCTGCCCTGTATTTCCTCTGTGCCCCGGAGGAAATGCCTTGCTCTTCATTCCTCAGCGTTCTCCCTGTAAAACGGAGGACTCCTTCCTGGCGCTGCTGGGGACTTACCTTCCTTTCAGTCCGTTAATCACGGGGATACCCTGAGATGGGAAGAGCTGAGGGAAGGCAAATTATCAGCACATGATCAGCCCCCCCTTGCCCGGGGTGGACGGGTGAAGGTCATGTGTGGGACTTGGCCCGCTGAAACAGAGCATTTTGCTTTACTTTCCAGCCACAATGCCAACTCCCCAGGCTCTGCTGCTACGCCTCCTGGTGAGTAGTTGGGGACCCCGTGGAGCAGAGTTTTTCTGAGCCAGGGCAGGGGCAGAGCTCAGGATGGAGACTGCTTTCAAGGCAGGTGCCCGCAGCCCCCACGGAGGAACAAGCCTGCCGGAGGGCGTCTTGCCCTCCAGGGAGCACCTGGGGAGTCCCAGCGTGAATCTCTCGAGTAGCAAGGATGCTGCCTTCCTCAGGGGGGCAGTGCAAAAAGAGAAGCAACTCTGCTGTGTGCTGCCTGCCACAGCACGAGCGGAGCCCGCCTTCTTTCTCAGACAAACTGCTGTTCCTCTGGCAGGCTGGAGCTCTAATTCCCTCTGCTTCCCTCGTCTAGTTGCTTGCGTGCTCTCCTTATGGAGGAGGTGGCCGTGGAGTTGCTGCCCTGCAGCTGCTGCAGGCCCTTCGCAGGCAGATTCACAGAGCGGTGGGCATTCCCTGGATGGTGCAGATCCCTTCCCTGCTGCAGTACCTGGAAGGTAAAGTGTCCGCTGGGAAGGGATGGCTGTGAAGAAGCCAGGAGGGGAAGGGAAAGGCAGCTCCCCAGGGTGACTGAGGAGAACAGAGACCTTGAGTGTCTTCAAGCCTTCTTGTTTGGCCTGCCTTCCAGTGCCAGGGAGCTGGAACTGGCAGCTGAGGGAAGGAGTGCCCCTGAGATCGGCTGACCCCTGGCTGGGCTTTAGCCTCGCTGGTTGCGTCCCAAAGGCAGGCTCTGGCAGCATCCGCCCATCCTTGCTTGGCTAGTGTTTGGGAGGGATCACGTTCCCCCGCCTGGAGCTTTTGTGACACTGCCCTCTCTTGGCAAGTTCACAGTCTCCAGTGGAGTCCACCTTGGCGGCAGCAGCAGCAGCAGCAGTTCTTTCAGACCATAAACGCAGGCTGGTTTGGGAAGGCCCCTTCCAAAACTCCTCTCGCAGTAGCTTGATAGCACGGCCTAAAAGGCCGTCATTTTACAGATACCATTGGGTCGTTCTGCAGAAAGTGTGCCTTGCGTGTAGTGCATGCAGTCGTGCTGTGTTCTGAACTGTTGTGGCAGCTGCTGTGAAGCAGCGGGCACGGCAAGTGGTCAGTATTGTCTAGGTTTGATGCAGTGGCCTTGGAAGAAAAGGCAGAAAAGGCAGGGACATGCCCTACGCCTTTGGGTTCACACAGAAGGGGCATAGGGTGTCTTCTAGCTCTGACATAGTAGGGACGCTCTGGTAGCTGGGAGCCTGGGCCTCTGGGGAGTTTTGCTTGCAAAGGCGACACTGGGACTCTTCTCTTGGGCTCACTCAAATCCAGTTGACCTGCTGCTGCGTCCTCTTGCTTTGCAGGCAAAGATGAGAGCTCCCTGGACTATGCAGAATGGGAGTGCCTTCTGCTGAAGGTACAGCGTTATTCTGTGACCTCTTAAGGAAAGAGGAAATATCTTGTTGACTTTCTGGCCTACCTGAGTGGGGCCCGGAGATTGACACGAGATAAGCAGAAAGGGGGGGCATCTGGAGGGTGTCAGGCAAGGAGGGAAATCACCCCCTCCCCCCCCCCCCCCCCCTGCAAGTCTTCTGAGTTTTCCCTCAAGTTCCAAGCTGATCTTTGGTTCTCAGAGATCAGGAAGAGAGACGAGGGGGAGGCGTAGCTGTGAGGTTTCGGGCATGCCTGTGCTCTCCCCGGACTTGGGCCTGTTGTCCTGACAGGGCCACTGCCTCTTTGCCTATAGTTTCCTGAGAGCCAGGGGAATCTTGGGGGCCGTGTTGCAAGAGGAGCACGGGGCACAATAAAGGGGGTGGGCAGGGAAGATGGATTATCTGCAGTGCTAGCTGTCCCCAGAGAACTTCTTGTCAGCTTGGAATGTGCAAAAGGCCTTGACAACACCTGAGGCACATTTGCTTCCCTTTTGGTTTTCTCCGTAGCTCCTGAGAACCTCTCTGGAGTCAATAGGGAACGAGGCCTGGATCAGCCTTGAGTTAACTCAGCAGCTGGCCAAGTATCCCCGTCTTTCCAAGGAGAAGGTTGGTTCTCTGCTAGGCCTTTGTCTCTACTTCTCGGCTCTGCGAGGTGTGGTGGCAGAGCCACAGGCTGCTCCTCTCACTGGCCTATGACCGAAGACGTGCTCTTTTCAGTACAGTCTCTTGTCACCGCTTCCGACTCTCTGCCCTCCAGAACAGCTTTATTATTATTTCTTGGAGGTTCTCCAAATAGAGCTGGGGTCACTGGAGTGGGCTACAGAACGGGCTGTTTCTGTAACGTGGATGCTTGACTGTCTCTGGGCCCTTGAGGTGGAGTGGTACCCGAGTGCCCCGCTTCTCCAGCAATGACAGGACTGCTGGCCTCTTCTCTTGCAGAGCTTCCTGTATAAGGCTGTGGGAACAGCACTGGCAGCCTCTCAGAATGTCAGCTATGTGCGAGAGCAGATGCAGAGCTATTTGGAAGGGATCAATTGGTCGGAACCTTCTGAGAGAGAGGTGGGCGTTCTCTTCCTCTCGCGGCTTTCTGCAGTCTTGCCCGGGGAGCTTGGGCCTCCTTGCCGGACTTGGCAGCCTGGTGGGCCTTGACTTGGGGCTTGCCTCAGGCAATCATCTCCTCTGCTTGGCCACTGCAGCTGGCAAGGGATGAACGGGTGGGATGGCAACTGACGCGCGCTTTTCCCTGTGTTGCAGGGACCGCTCTCTGTGCTAGCGTGTTGTGCTGAGAGCCACCTGGATCTTGCCTTGAGAGCAGTGCAAGAGTTTGATGTGGCTGGGCAGAAAAGGACATTTTCTAGGGCGCTCACCTTCCGGGAGGTAAGGGCAGTCGGTTTTCCAGCTTGTCTTGGCTCTGTTTGCTGGGCTAAGACCTGCCGGAAGCCTGCACCCTGGAGTTCTGGTGCTTCAGGCACCTTGAGGAAGGAGCGCGTGTACCGAGCCCTGGCTGCAAGCTCCCCAGCGGTGAGCCAGTGGCTGCAGCCAGGTGGCTGGCAAATGGGAATGAGGACGGGTCAATGGGCAGCGCTCAGACTCGCGGCGATGTCAATGAAGGAGGTTGTGCACTGGAGCCCTCCTCTGCCAAAGAGCTCCAGCTGGCGTGAGGGAGACCAGCTCTCTTCCCCAGAGAGTTCAGGCAGGCTTTGAGGAATTCCCGTGGGAAACGCTGGGGGAAGTGTGGGTGGCCGTGACAAGCTCATCCTGGTTTGGAGGCAGTTTCTCAACGAGAAGCAAATGGGAAGGCTGAGGTAAAACAAGGAGCTTGGACTGCTTCCTCATGGCCGTTCCAATTGTCCAGGAGCAGCAAAAGGAGAAAAGAGGCAAGGCGTGTGCTGCTGTCATGCTGGCTTTCAGCCGGATAGCTCTGCATGCTCCCAAAAGGCTGCTTTGTTCCCGAGTCGAGACGGTCATCGTGGAGAACATCCTGTGCCAGTACCGAAGCAGCTCTCAGGTAGCAGCTCACAGTGCTCATTGTAAGGGAGCTCCGTCTTTTGGGGAGGAAGGTGGGGAGAGCGCCTTCCTGCTTTCCGGGAGGCCGCTTGCTCCCAGGACCCGAGGGGAGAGCTCCTCCCTCTGAAATGGAACCCGAACTAAGGTCCTGTAGGCTTCTGGAGGATGCCGCTTCTTCCCTGTGCAGCATTTTTGGGACAGCTTTGGCCCCGGGTTAATCCTCCTTTGGCCTTCACGTTAATCTTTGGTCCTTTGAGCAGCTCCTCATCTTTGTTGCCTTCTTTTTCTCTCCTCGTCCTCAGGACTCAGAGCTCAAGCTGGCCCTCATCCAGAGCGTCACAGAGGTCAGCTCGGCCATTCAAGGGGTCAGCAACGAGGAGAACTTTCATTTCTCTTCCAAAAGGGTGCTGCTGGAGCTTCTGCTGGTGAGTGACACGGCGCGAGGGAGACTGTCCCGCCAAAGAGCTGCTGTTTGCGCAACGAGATGGCTTTCCTCAGAGAGGCACTATTCTCTGTTGGCTGTGAAAGAGCATGGGCAAAGTTGGGCGCTTCCTAAGCCTAGTGCCCAGCGTGCTGGGACCCTTCTGTGCTGCCACCTTGTGGGCAGTCCCCGGCAAGAGCAATGGCCCTGTTCTCTCTGGAGCTGCAAAGTGGTCCTTTAGGAGAGAGTTGGGGGAGCTGTCTGCGTGAAGCTCTGTCTGTGCTTGTCGCAAGTGTGGAAGAAGAGGCTGTTTGTCTTGCAGAGGGAGGGCCCTCTTCTTTCCTACCCGCTGACCGCTATGTCCTTGTCTCTCTGTGAACTGCAGGACTTGGTGAAGCAGGAGCCCGTGGGTTCTGTGCCTTCTCCTGTTTGTTGCAAGGCGATTCTTGCGCTTGAGCATTTGAGGTAGGGCCCTTCCTCCTGTGTGTTGGGTGTTCCTCTGCGTGCTGCAGGGGAGGGGCCTGAAGTTTCTTGGTTGACCTGAGTGTGGGGTCAGGAGCTGCCACAGGAGCGAGTGGTTCAGATGTGGCAGGCAGGCAGGCTGGCTGGCTGAGGGAAGGGAGCTCCCAGCTCTCCGCTCCCTGGGAGGCTGATGTTTTCCTGCCGCCTGCGAGTGAGGCAAGAATGCATGGGAGCTGGTGGAAGCGCTCCCTCTCAAGGGGCCGCAGCGTCGGGCTTTGGGGCTGCAGCTTCAGCGGAACGCTAGCTGCCTTTGGCCCCCCTCTGGCAAGCAGTGGAAGGTCTCCTTTCTGAATTGTCTTCCTTTTGGCTTCTGCCAGCAAGATCAAGCCATCTCTGACCCAGGAGGAAAACTGTCATCTCCTTCACGCGTGCTTCCAAAGCCTATTTCCCCTGCCTCCTCTTGAGCGGACCAGAGAGGAAGGGGAGGCAGCAAAGGATACTCAGCACGGAGAGGTACCTGTCAGTCCCCGTCTGCTGCCCTGAGTCTTCAGCGCTGCCCTGAATTCGGACAGCCTCTCCGGCTGAGTTTGGAGGCCCCGCTGGGATTTCACCTGTCACTCCTTCCCTCCTGCTTTCAGTCTCTCTACAGACAATCCCTGGGAGCTCTCGGTCAGCTCGTGGCAAGTCTTGAGGAAGGCCTCACCTCATCCTGGCTCAAGGAAACCTTCCACGTGAGTAGTAAAGAGCCGAAAGGGAAACTCTGCTCTCTGGCCAGGAGGCGGGCCACGGATGGAGGGCCTCCTGCTTGAGGGGGTCATGAGAGGAAGGGAGATTTCTGAGAACAGGGTGCAACCCATGCAAGTCCTCCTGGGAGGTAAAGCAAGCTAGGTCCCACGGTGGCTGTAGGAGTCGTGCTGCTTGTTGTCAGGGCGCTTTGCAATGGCAGCTGCTGCCTGATGGGAGCAAGATGGCCCTGGCGGACAGATGCAAGGGCACTCCCAATCTTTGCTGATGAGTGAATGCTGGCTGCAAGCGGATGCAATAATAGAGCAAGTCTTCAGCGGCTGGACGCCTCACACTGGGGATGAATTCCCACGGAGGCCAACGTATCCTTCGGGTGGTTCCTTGGGGAAGCTGCCAGAAACGGCGGGAGATTGCAAAGGCCTCTGTGCGTGTGTTTGAAAGATACCTAGTCTGATGTAGCTGTGGTCTTCCAACAGCTCCTGGAGGCCTGGCTCCATTCGGAGAAAGAATGGGAGAGAGAGAGGGCCCTGCAGGTCTGCACTCAGCTCACAAAGGCTTATGCTGAGAGATCTGTGGACGCTGTGAGTATTGCCTCCTCTTCCCAGAACCCTCTGGAAGCTTCTGTGGGTGCGGCCGGAGTCTCTAGGGGAGACTTGGCAAGTCTCGAGGGCAGACTTGGCAAGGCAGGTCTTCTCTGCAGTTCTGCCCTAGCCTCAGCGCCCATCTGCCACAAACAGGGCATTCCCCCTCCCGCTTCCCCGGCACGGAGATTTGCTCGAGGCTGCGCTCGGGGTTGGTAATCTCCCAGGAGGATGGAGCTGAGCTTCTAGTGCTCCGGATGCCCAGCTCGGGGCCAGCAGTCAGCGCCAGAAGCAGAAGGTTGAAGGGCCGCTCCTGCAGCCTGGGCACTTTTGTCTTCCTTTGATTTCTACTAGGGAGAAAGCACTTGTGCGCAGCTTGGCTCCCTGATTGCAGTGCTGGGGCCTCTCAGCTGTGACTC